CCCCAAAACCCCAAAACCCCAAAACCCCGCTAGATGAAATCTATGTAAGAGTTACAATTTAAATTTCGAATTATATAATTAGATTTAAATATATCTATAAAAATGCAGAGCAGGAAAGAATTGACAGTGCAGACCTAAAACCTGGATGTAAATAACTCGATAAATCAGATCTCCCCCATAAACTCTATCGGTGAGGAAGCAAACAACTAGAGCAATGAGTATGCGAATAACCCTTCACAAGTCATTGTCAAAGGCATAAACTACCCATAGCAGAAAAAGGCTACCAGATCAGTTACATTCAAATAAGATGAGAATCTCAAAATGGATGGTGGTATATATTAATAATATAATAATTTTCCTATAGAATTCGAGAATAATCAAAGATTGGATGATGATAGTTATATGCAGCAGTCATTTGATTAGGAATAGAATAGCTAGACGCGCTTAAGAGATGAAAATTTGCAGACTATGGGACACGCAGCTGATTTGAACAATTAGATGAAGCAGCAAATCTTCTTTGGAGACGCCCTGCATATTTTGACAATTAAAAGCGGGGAGAAAGTCAAGAAGATGGACTTCATTGGGCAGTCAGATCCCTATATATAATTCACATACAGAGGAAAAACTTACAAAACAGAACATATTTCCAATAATTAAAATCCAATCTGGAATCAAAAATTTTCATTTGTTCTTAAGGCGGCAGTAAGTTTTTCATCTATTGACTTATTACACCATCTAAAATTTTTATGTTCAAAATCTAACATTTGATAGGACCAAAACAAGGAAACTCTGAGTGAAAAATTAAAGTTTTATCTCTACGATTAAAATAGCATATTGAAAGATGAGTTAGTGGGATATTGTGATATTTCACTTGAAAAGCTTATCACATCTAAAGGAGTAAATAAACATACCAAGTTTACACATTTATATATAGGTTGAACAAAGGCTGAAAGTTAGATAGTCTGAGGATGTAAATGAACTTAAGAAAGAGCAAAATTTAGGGTTTATTGTGGTTCAACATAAATTTATGCCTTTGATTAAGAGCGAATAGGCATTTCCAGAAGAGAGAGACTACCAGGCAACATTTGAAAATTTAGGCAAGATAGGATAAAGGAGGTATAAAGGTATTTTGAAGCTAACTACTCATCATTTTGAAGGCCTAGAATAAAAAGATGACTATGAAATCTTTTACAAATTTACAGACGGTTCATCCTAGAGTAATACTCCTAATGATGGTGGGAAAAGCCCTCTTTAGAAAGAACTTAAAAGCCCTATGAAAATAGAAAAGAGTCCTTTGGAAGTCAAAATGGTAAATCCTTAATATAAAATAGCCAAGAAGCAAAAATAAGATGATTAAGTTCACCAAGATCAACACTTCAAGGTGGCTGATCTATTTAGTGGAATGCTCTACATTCAGATTGTAAAGAAGAAGAGCTATTTGACTTCTGATTTATATGCTAATATAGCTTGCAATTTCTCTCAAGCAGACTAAATACTATAAGGTGATCCAATGAGCATAGAAATAGAGCTTAACAGAACTCTTTCATCTGTAATTGGATCTCAAAAAGATTCCAAGTCGGGTTAAAAGGGTTCAGTCATTTCATCATCTGAAATAAATCCAAAGATTATTTTAACAATGACTTATTTTAATTCAATACTCACCAAGTTTCCTAAAGGCCAACTTAATCTAACAATTAAATCTGTAACACATTTTCAATGTAATCTTTGAATTTTAGTGGATTATAAATCAACAATAGTTCCCAACTACATTTTATCTCAATTTATAAACTAAAGACTAGCCCATAAAGATTGAGAGAATGAGATAGCCTGTCGATATCTTAATAGCAGACTCGCTAGATGACTTTAAAATTACTGTGATGGAGAAAAAATCAGTGACGAATTCAGTTATTGCTTAGTATACTATTAAGCCCTATGAGTTTTTCAACAACAGCGACTAAATAGTCTTCAGATTGATACTTTAGAATTTCACCTTCATTGACTAAAAAAAGTCCTAAGAGATCAGTTTAAGTGTTGCAGCTAAATTCATGCCAGATATCAGTTTGGTTTCTGAACTTGATTTGATAAGTAAATATGGCTAGCTCAAAGAGAGCCAGAGTAACTTTGCCACTCCAGATATTGATGAGCTGATGAAACGTGACTCTTCACATTACGGAGGCGGAGGAGGAGGAGGCTAAGAGGAAAGTATGGATATTCAGGAGAAGCTTAAGATTCAGCAATTTAGAAACAGCAGCAATAGAATAGATAGAGACCTTTATACTTTTTCGCTTTAGACTTCGAAACCCATTGTGAATCAAGACTACAAAAGAGGTGTCCTTGTTATCAGGCTTTTGAATATTGATGATTTCTACTGGGATGAAATTTAGCCATCAGGAAAAGATGCGAAGATACCTTAATTTTACTTTGTCATAAAGACTTCAAAGATATGTGTTCGAAGCAAAAATGTCAATGAAGGAATCAATCCGCTAGTACTTAATCTTAATTTCATAAATTTTTATAGTGGAATGAAGTCTTTGAAATTAGAATAACAGATCTTAATGAGGACATTGTATTCAAGCTTTATAGAGACGATGTTGTACCTTAACTTGTGGCAGAAGGAAAAATAAATCCGACAGTTGATTACAACAATTGTAAGGATTTAATATGTCTTCAGTATTTTACTTTGAATTAGACAATATGTGGCAGAAATATGACTCTCTCGGAGTGCTCCTTAGGCTGAAGAATAAACCAGATGAAGTAAAAACCCTACAATATGAGATGATGTATCGCTACTCAAAGTTCACTCGTGGTCCTAAGGGGAATCTCGAAGTGAGTCTGGATGCCGGCTATGGATTAAAATACAATGACAATTCTTATGAGCGACCAGTCATCAAATTTAAACTTGGGATGTAAAATTACTAAATTACAGAGGATATTAACCCGCATTATGCCTCTTGGAAATAAAAATTTATGAATTTTGAGACTTCATCAATTTGGGACTAAATTGAAATTAGGTTTTATGGAACATAGTCTAGTTCCGAAGATCTAATTCTTATCGGAGCATATCATAAACCAATCAACTCGATCTATTATGATGATGAAAGCTTTACTCAGATTGAGATTGATATGTCCGAAGCAAGTCCCTAGCTAGGAGGATTCTTGAAGATTTTATTTCATTTTTATCCCTAGAGACAAGGATTTGAGGCTGATTTAAAATAAAATTAGGTACTCTCTAATCATAAGTAAAAACCTCTTGTTGATGAATAATTGGCATTGTAAGACAAGAAGCAAGGTGTTTGCTATTTAAGTTTAAAAAGTGTTGAGGTCAAAGGTTTAGGGGCTCATCAGTCCTATATAATAGAAAATGTGAGATTAGATATTGGCTATTAAAAGTAAAGCTGTCTTTCTAGAGTGACTACTGATTTGAGAAAAACGCAAAATAAGGAGATTTTAAATGATACATTTAGGCTGGTGCTTGATGATATAAGCAATGCTAAGTACGATCAAAATAGAATATTAGTGAAGGCTTTTGATATAGATTATAAAGGAAATAAAGTCAATTCTGAAATTTAGATATTCATTGGCCAAGCAACCATTGATCCTTATATTATGAGACAGCATTAGGGTGTTGAGATTCATTACCAATGTGCTATTGAAATATCTGAATAACATTTCCTTAATAAATCTAAGAAAAAACTGCAGGACGATTCTTTGCTAATGGATAGCGTCCTTGATGAATTGGATGAAGTCCAGTTCTTGGAACTGACTGACCATAAAAGCAAAGCTCAACAACTAAACAGAGATAACAAGAGAGAACTAATCTTGCATTTCTAGATATTATACATATCCACTGCTTTTACAAAGAACCCATTTGGTATGATTGCTATTAATGATTTATTCCTACTTAATTTAACTAACTATCTTGATATCAGCACCCTAACAAGCTTAGGGGATGTATTTTTGATATTCAAACTGAACGGTAATAAAAATAGCACTTCAAGTGCAAAAAATATCTCAAAAGATGCCTTGAAGAAGGAAAAGTTGTGCCTTTTTCATTAGGAATACGACCCAATAGATGTTATGAGGGCAGGGGAATCTTACTGTATAGACACAAAGGCACTTGATACGTATTTTAAATGGGAAAAGTAGCTTGTACTCTTTACTAGTCATCCTCTAGATCAAATTGAAGTTGAAGTTGTTTATCAAAGGAAGTAAACTAAGATGATTAGGGATGCTAATAGCAAAATTATCCTAGCTAATATCCTAATAAGTATCGCAGATATATCTTATTTCCTGGAAAGAAATGCTGGGAAGGACGTGGGTGTAGCTAACCTAATGGATTTCTAGGGCTCACCAGAGTTCAATCCTTTTAGTTGGCTTGCAATCAAACAGAGTAAAAGTAGAAAAGCAACTGAGGATGCTATGAGCCAGTAAAAGCTATAGAACTTTATGAATACAAAGGATCTATCATATAGTGCTTATTAGAACTAACTCATTTTGATATTTGATACAAAGTTTTATCATGATGGAGTTATTGAAAGAGATCCCAAGAGACCTTAAATGCTTAGCATTGACCACATATTCATAGTCCCTAGAGAGGAAAAATATGATAACTTCATTGCTGACTAATACGAATCATTTGTCAATAGATTTTAAAAGGAGAAGCAAAAGTTAGAAGGAAATGCAGGCAGCTCTTTGAAAGACTCCGTTGTTTCCAATCCTAGAGGCTCAGTGGTGTCAAATTAGGATGGCAAAAGTAAATACTAGGAAAACAATCACATGCTAGTAGAGTTTCACTTGATTAACTTGAATTCAATTTTGAGAGAGGTGCAGAATATGAGTAATAAGATTTATTGCTTTGTAGCTTTTGAATATCTTTCCTCAACTGACTCAATCAGTTCTTATATCAAGCAATCAGTCAAATAGTACAAAGCAGACTTGATGATGACTGCCCAAACCAATACTCTTAGATATTAAGGACTAGATCCTAAATAGCAGTAAGATTAAGTTCAACAATCTATTCCTAAGAAACCAATCATCAACCCTTCTGATTAGGGTTTCACGCATATAGTAGAAGAGATGTTTGGACCTACTCAAGAGTTATTAGGACTGAACACTCAGATTACATAAATTTTTGGAGTAAATGACTTTGAAATTCATACAATTAATAAGATGCTTGAGGGATGGGTTCCAATAACCACCAACAAAATCATGCTTTCTCTCATTGTGTAATAAAATGGGTTTCAATAGTTAGATTTGTTCAGAAACACTCTGTTAGAATCAGTACTTTGTCGCAGCAACACACTTTTGGGTATTAAATTCACTGGTAAGGACGACAGATTTAATTAGGTTGAGGTCTATTAGACTCCTATTGACTTTGATTTGAAGTAGAGTAAATAAAGTCACAGTAATTAAAGCATTAGCTAGTTATCTGCAGAACCCTCAATCCTAAAGACCTTTTATTAGTCTGCCAATTTATGTGAGTTTGTGGTTGAGGCTTCTAATAGTCTTCTGATGAATCCAATAGTAAGAGCTTAGTGCTAGGTTAGAACTAGACTTTAAACCTCTAAATTCATAGATATTCCTTCAGGGTATCTAAGTGTAGGCTTACGAAATATGACTCATAATAATGAGAATTTACCAGAAAGCAGTTACGTTAAATTAACTCTTCGAAGCAAGATCAACAAGATGATGTTGCCAGTTGAAATTTAATAAAGGTCTACAGATACAAAAACGACTGGCACAATGAAATGCTACAAGAAGGTTACTAAGAAAAATGGCAAAACAGTAGTAACATTAAATGAGATAGTGAACTTTGTGGTAAGGCACTTTGCAGACTGTCTGATTATATCTATTTATCATGGAAAGTCTGAAGATTAAGAAGAGCCAGGGCCAGATGACTAGCTTCACTTTTAGACAAAAGTTGAACTCAATAATCTTGATTTGAATGAAGATAAATTGACTATTGTAGTGGTTGGAACTAATTCTATGAGGAGAAGAGCACAACCTACATATTACACCTTTGAGCTTGATCTACATTTTAAGCCTAGACTAATCAACTCTAAGATCTAGAATGACTTAGAAATGGCCTATGAGAATTTCAAACTGCTTAAGGGGTCTGATAAACTTACAAAGGCAGAAGAGGAGGTGCTTAAGATGCTGCTTATGAGAGCAGAACTCGCAAAAAAGCTGACTAAACAGATACTAAGTCTTAGGAAATGCTTTTTTATGCTTAGAAACATGGTTAAGACTTGCTATTAATCTTTTGACTTCGGATAGCAAGTATACTTGAGAGTTTTACCTAAAGCCTTCTTTTTCTCAAAAACTCATCAAACGAAGGACTTGCCTCGCTCCAAGTACAATGAGTTAATGGCTACTATATCTACTGAACTAGCTCAGGGAAGGCAAACAGGGTATCAATCCAATAGTTTGGCAGAGACTAAGTACAAAGGAACACCCCTTGAGAAAAATTCTACTATCGAGAAATCAAACATTTTAATTGTAGAATTCCTCTCAAACATCAATCTTGGCTCATCATTCAACCCTAATGCATCTATGTTATCCATGAGGAAAACACCTTCAAATTTATCCCTAGGCAAATTTGCCTCTAATCAGACTTAGGGCGGAGGAGGAGGAGTAATCACAAATTTTGCCAATAAATACAAAAAGCTTATTCTGGTGGCTACTTAAAATGAAACGACAATTGCTAAAGAAGTCTATGATAAGTATCAAATCATTAATGGCTAGCTTATGAAAGGCCTTAAGATTTTCTTTAACAATGTTTAAAAGGATAATGTACTTTCCTTTAGACTATTAGTAGAAGAGGATAATGCTAATATTCAGGGCGGAACTACCAAGAAATCTGAAAACGGGAAGCTAGTAACACTTGGTATCGTGTCTATAAATTTAAATACAACTGAACTAAAGGCTTGGACAAAGAAAAAGCAAAATCTATGCTTCAATAATCATATAAATACTGAGATAAGCTTGAACCTCATTTACTCTGACTTTACCAAAAACCCTACAAAGATCGTGAATTTCATGTTCCATAGACTAGTATAGATATTGCCTGAGGATATTTTAGATAAAGAGGAACAGAAGAAAGCAATCGAGCAAGAAGAACAGGATAAAATACAATAGTAATTATAAAACCGCAATAATAAAGGAGGCTAGGTATAATAGCAATAGCAAAACCCTCAAAAAGGCTCTTAATAAGATTAACTCAAGACAGGTGAGTAATAAATTGGTGATCAAAATCCATCTATCAGCAAAAAGTTATTGTTGATGCTTAATAAAAAAGAGTAACAGCACAAACTTGTTTTGAGTGAATCGAGTGTTGTTGAGAAGAAACTACATGATGGCTTGTAATCGACTCAGAATCTGGCTGCTCTTACTAGTCAAAGGATATTTGAAAAGCATATGAGTCATGTCCTCACAAATACACTAAGCAAATACAATTCACAGCAAGCACCAAAAGATGGGTCAATGAATGACAAGGTTAACAAATTGATTAATGGAGAAGGAGAAGAGACTCAAAAGTATAAGGTGCTTATAGAGTATGAAAATTGCAAGGAATTTGAGGGCGATATAATGGAAAGCAAAATTTATGATGTTGACTCTAGAGGGAAGAAGCTCAAGCCATTCATGGACAATTTAACCATAAATAATACTAAGTTCGATAATAAGATCATATTCAAACTGTGTATTGATAACTCAGGAGTTCAAACTAATAACAACCAAAATTATGATGCAAATACACTTAATAATAGCTTAGTGGTCTTAGCCCAAACCTCTTTATATTTGGCAGAAGTATAAACTCTACCTAATCAGACTTTGAACTTCTTTGTCCCGTTGAAGAATATAGAGCCGTCACAAAATGACGACATGGCATAGTCTTGGGTTCATAAAAACTATGAGCTCAAAGATGTCTTTGTGTTGGGATCAATAAGAATCACAGATAAAACTTTCGGGGAGTTGGCAATACACCTAGACACTTTTGCAACTATTCCAAGACAACTAGATCTTATCAGTCTTGCTTATAACATCTATGTAAAGCCCTCTTAGATGTAAAGGGAACGTTTAATGATGCAAAAGCTGACATCGAAGTATGTAAAGGACTCTAAATCTCAGACGAGTGAGCAGCTAAAAGCTGAAAATAATCTATTCTTTTTCGAAAGCAAACGTTTCCCTTACGAAATTACAGCCAGCACTTTGAAGGTAGATAGAGAGGAAAACTAGCAAATGCAAATGAAGGACATATTTGCTGATAGAGACATATTTTTGAATCCAGCCTAGTTCCAACTCTACGAAAACTTAGACAACAAACTGGTGTTTGAGTTGATAGCCTATGATGAGCATGAGGAGTAGCGAATTCTAGGCATTAAGGAGATATCTATGCTGGACATGATAAGGAAACAGATGAATAATGAGATTGACAGAGCGAGAGCTGCTTAGTTTTAACAGTCTAGTAGCAAGACAGGAGAAGCTAAGAATTAGCAGCTAGTTGGATTCGCTGAGAAAAAATTGCAATCAGAGTTTGTTGGTACTTCCGCAAGATTCCAAAAGTTATTCAAAGACTCGTATGTAAGGTACAACAAGACAAAAGAGGAAATTTAGAAACAGAAAGAGGAGGAGGAATCCAAGAAGTCTAGGGATTAAAACGATGAAGATCAAGCTGAGAAGCTGATACCTGATGATATGGTGGTGCCCGAGGGATATGAGGTGTTCAGGCTGGATCACGCTAAGATACCCACTCCGGAAGAAAAACTGTAGAAGGTAGATAGTAAGTTCAACAGTCCAGTCAAGAATCAAAAGAAAGGGGATAAAATTCAAGACTTGCAGAAGCTGTAGTAAAATGAGATAGTGACTGTTGATACAGGAATAAGGATGCTAGTTAAGATTGAATGGAACTTCAAGTATAAGGCTCGAATGAACCACACTGATAAATATAAGGAATTCAATGAGGAAATCAGAGAACTTGAGAGAATGAAGCAATAGAAAAACATTCTCAACTTGATAGAGACGTTAGACTAGGTAAAGACAAAGGTAGATTTGACTTAGAAAAATCTGAGAATACTCACATCAGTTTTAGCTACTGAAAGCTGTCTGTCTGGGCAGACAGAGGAGGATTTCCAGAATAATTAGGTGCTCAAGAATACTGATAAAATAATCAAGATCATGGCTGAGATGTATAAGTATAGGCAACTTGATTCTGGTGCTTTAGTTCAAGTCATGAAATGTATCACTTACTTAAAGATAACATGCGACTGTGACAAGAAGTACTAAAACATATTCAGAGAGCACATTTTAAAGTCTATGCTGATTGAGACAATGATTGAGCACTACTAGACCAACATCCTTAGAGCAGACGGCACACTATCTCAGAAGACATTGGCTTTGGAATTCATGAGTTTCATCACCACTATCCAGCTAGATTTCAATGAAATCTACTTTGATATGATCAGCGGTGTCAGACTTGATCCACTTCTGGCTTTTATGAGTCAATCAAATGAAACAGATTTCAATATTGTGTTGGCATATTCCAAATTCTTGAATTCTATAAGTCAGTGTCTGTTTAACTTCAGGCCAGAGGATTATAAAGTAGATGAAAAGAAAGCAGAACTAAAGAAAGCATTGGTTAAAATGGATATGATTAAAGTTGCAAAGGGTATTAATAAGCTGCTGGTCAAACTGCTGAATGGAACTATTGAAGTTTTCAAGAATGATTACGAGAGAGTGTCTGAGATTATTACATAGACTGGAGTGCAGTTCATTCATCTGTCTATCATGCAATGCAAACTTATCTCCTATGAAGTCGATTTCACTCTTCCAGATATCCTGCTAAATCTGTTTAAGATCTTAGTAGACGGGATTATCTCTTAATTGTCGCTTGACTTTATCACAGAGTTGAAATCTAGACTGAACTATGAGATGTCCTTGATCAAGTCGCTAGGATTAAGAGAACAACTCATGTTGATGTTTGATGTAAGCTATAATAGTTTGTTCTAATATTGCTCTTTAGGATTCAATTTTGATTGGAATGATGGAGAGACTTACAGTGCATTTTGCATAGCTGATGAAGCATTTTGATATTGACAAGAGAGATCATGGATTTAGATTCTTCGATAAGACGAAACTCATATTCGAATTCTTTGCTACTGACTACTGTTTGGTATTCTAATAAAATTTACTCATTATATATAGAATGTACTGGCAGAAAATATCAGAGCAAAGGCAAGTGTGGAGAAGAAGCCAAACCTACTTCAAGAGATACTATCAAGTCCATCAGTGGAGGATCTTGACTTCGTATTGTTCCTGCAAAGAGTGGTCAAAATAGATGCAGAGATTGAATCAATAGCTGACGGAGATAACAGAGAGGAAAGAGAGAGGAGGAAGCAGTTCATTCAGGATAAATATGGAACTATGACAAGGGTAAATAAATTTTCATTGACTAGAGTAAGTTGGCTAGACACTCTTTACAACAATAATCTATGAAGCATTCAATTTAAATGATGATTTCAAGGCTATCTATAATTTTCTAATTAATGAAGTTAATCTTTATTTCATAACTTGTCTACTCATAAGCAGAGATTAATGTAACTTAGCTTAAGAGGAAAATACCTTAAAAGTAATAATCTTAATGGAAATTATCTTAAATATATCAATTATTCATTCGCAATCGAATCCTCAGTTGCTCTCCGAAGTACTGTTTGTATCAGTAGCGATATTGCTAATAATATTATTACTTGCACTTTCTATATTTTATACAACTTTCTCAGTTTGTGCTTCTTAAGGTTATTCTATTTAAACACTCTGCTGTGTTTATACTACATCTCCTTCCGTAGCGATCTTATCTTAATTCAACTCATTATTAAGCTAGCTTAAATACTCTTGCTCTTATTATCTCCTCTGCTTTTAGGTTTCTTGATATCTTTAAGTTGCAGCAAGTCCACTCTTAACATAGAAGATATCACTCACAGTGGTGAGTTTGGTAAAGCATGAATGCAGACAGTCCTTCTCTGCTCTTGAAAGATCATCCTGCCTCCAGTTAGCAAAACACTCACGAGAACATGCTAAGATCGTGTTCGCTTCTTGCTTCTTAATATACTCTAATTTGAAGACTGTCTAGACTAGATCATTCTAGTTCTTGATTATGAAACTGTGGAATCTATCAGCTTTATACTTGAAAGGCTCAAATGTTGGTATGGACTAGTTGAACATTTTTCTTTTTAATTCCTTTTTATGGTTAATTATATTTTTACCAATGCACCCAAATTTACATTCGCAAATTCTTCTCAATTTTTAAGACAGCGGGGTTTTGGGGTTTTGGGGTTTTGGGG